CTGAATCGATTTGGCCCAATCAGTTTTGGAAGATTTAGTGCCCATTCAGAGAGATTTGGCTATTCGGATTGGCCGGGGAGAGACAGGCACAGCTGGGTGGCTGCAGGTTCTTCCGCAGCTCCTCCAACTGTGCCTGCCTCTCCCCAGGCTGGAGGAGCCACGGGAGAAGCTCCCATGGCTGCCCAGCCCTGCCCAGTCCCAGCCTAATCCTGGAACTTTAAAAAAGCCCCACAGTGACTGGCTGCAGGAGTGGCAATTGGGGCCTCTAGGTGCTCATGGCAGAGAGATCCCCCTGCCCCTGCTTTTCATGGCACAGGTGCAGGGCAGCTTGGCAGGGCGCTGTGCGCTGTCTGGGAACTGGGGCTGTGTGCTCCAGGGCTCCGGCTGACACGTGGAGCCACACCAGCTCCCAGACTAATCAAACCAAGGGCTGAGATAAGTGTTCAGGTCCCTGAACACTCTTCCAGCTCCTGGTTAGATTCCCCAGCTCCCTGATCACTTCCCCCAGCTTCTCCCAGGGGGCACGGGCCCCCAGATGACAGCAGACGGCTGCTGCCAGCTGGTGATGGCAGTGGCTCTGGGCTATTTCCCCAGCCAGCAGCAGCAGCCTGCTGAAACCCCACGGGAAGAGCTGGAAGAATGATCAGAGAGCTGGGGAAGCGAACTAGGAGCTCTGGCTGACAGGTGGAGCCGCCCCAGCTCCCAGACAGCACGCAGTGCCCTGCTGAGCCATGCTGCACCCAGGCCATGGGGCAGCCAGGTGGGGAGGGGAGGGGTGATCCCTGCTGCCCCCCACTGCACAGGTTGGGGGGGCTCTGCCACAAGTGCCCAGAGACCCCAATTGCCACTGCAGCAGCCAGTGAGTGCGGGGCTTTAAAAAAACAAAACAAAACAAACAAAAAACAAAACACAAAACAAAAACAAAAGCAAAAAACACACAAAAAAACTGCCAGGACCAGGCTGGGCCCAGGTGGGGGATGGGGCCAGACAGTGTAGCCATGGGGGCTTCTCCCACAGCTCCTCTGGCTGTACCTGCGTCTGCCCCAAGAGGGCTCTGCTTTACTGCCGCTTGCCCAGCAGGTTGGGTAATTCCTTAGGAAAAGCGTCACCATGTGTGTCAATGTGTAGCAATGCCATTACTCACTGTGTTTTGACTTGCTGTGTTAGCCCCTGCTCCCAGTGCTGCCATGCCCACATCCTGCACCCCCCGCCGCACTGTGGTTGGGCAGCTTGTCCTAGCCCCAATCCCTCCCTCCCCCACACCCGTACCCTCTCCCCCAGTCCCAACAGATTTGCCAGCTGCCTGTTTATTCTATGACCAAATCTTTTTCCAAAGCTTTTCTGAATTGATTTGGATGCTTCGAGTCAATTCGGAGCTATTACCTGGTCTCCTGATTCTATTTGGATTCGGACCCCAAATCAGGCCTAATATCCTCCAAATCAAATCAGCTACCAAAGCTTCATCCAGCCCTAATAATCAGCTATTGGTACTGGCCATCAAAATCTTTACTGATGCACCCCTACAAAATACCCTATATTTAAACCCATACAGATTTGACAAGTTATTTCTATGGGCACAAGTATGAATTTAAAGCATTCAAGTTCTCTTTTCTGCTTAACATTAGCTTGGCATCACATAATAATTGGAAAATAGGTACTCCCTACTTCTTCAGCTGAAAGTGTCCCTTTAACCATCTAATTAATAGTCATGTCAGCTCCCCTCACTTTTTCCAGTCTTTCCAGACCTCAGTAGTATATTTCTCCATCTTTTCCCCGCTCACCATTCCGCCTCAAGGCGAGCTGAATTTGGCAACACATTTCCATAGGCCATCATTTTGCAAAGGGGAATTTCCCTTTTTTCTCTTTCTGCCAAAGCCATCATTGACCTGCAGATGCCAGAATCAGCTCTTACATGACATAGTTTATCTTAACATGGAAAGGATTTTGGGAAAAAGTATCTAGCACAGATGTTAGACTTCTGCTTTTTAAAATTATTTTGAAGCCACATATCAGGAAGAACTGATTGTTCTGTTGTAGTAGAAAAACTATAATAAAACAGCATTCAGCAGCTCTTCTGGTACTTTACTCCAGCTAAGGCTAAACAGCAGAACTGGATTCAAGAGAGGTATTGCTAGAAGTGTTAACTGCATACTGGTCAGAATTGTTTGTACTCCAGTACATGTTATTTCTGAACACACTTCATGCTGTCCCAATATCATATTCGTGGGAAACATAATAAGCAGCTATTCTGAAAGCTTCATTTATGGTGCTAATATCAAGAAAACTTGAGGCTCTGTACAAAAGTGCTCCCTGCATGTTTTGCAGTGCTGTAATTTAGAGTCCTTTTTATAGTACCATAAAGTTACAGCGCTCCTAAACATGACAGAAGTGCAATGTTTGGGGGGGGGGGGGGGGGGGGGGGGCAGCCTGGGAGCCTCTCTGCACTTCCCAGGCTAGGAGGCAGGGGGCACTCTGCAGCCTCCTTGGACTTCTCCACTGGTCAGAAATTTGACCAGTATACAGAAGTTATTTAAAACTGTTGCAGGTTGATAAAGTGCTGTAAAATACAGCGCTTCAAAATTTAATACCTCATTTAACAAGAGTTAAATTAAAAGCTCTGTAGCCAGTTTTAAAGTCCTGTAAAGCCATGCACTTCTGTTAAGTCATGGCAATAAAGCAACTAAATCTAAACACCCCAAGTTTAGATTTTGCAACGTTAAACCCATTTAACTTAATGACTATCAGGATGGATTAGTTTGAATTTCTAATCAGGAAGCCTCGATTTAATCATTGGTTTCCACAAAAAGTATACGTTTCTCTCACTTTATGCAGTACATGCGTTCCCAGAAAACGGCGAATAAATCGAATTTGCGTAAAGGGAACCCAGTTTATAAGGTAACAAATAGTGATACATTCCCACAGTGGTGAGGGAGGGAGCGAGGCTGGGGCCAGGGAAGGGGTGGGGGGGAGGAGCATGGTGTAGCCCAGTGGCTGCAGGCAGATGGTGTTGGCTGCTCCCGGGGCGGGAAGCAAACCAGAGGAACCTGGCAGTGGCTGCGGGGGGGAAGTCCAGTGCCACCATCAGCCCCAGCCTGCAGTGGCAGCCTGCTCTTGTCCTGTGCACAGATCCAGGAGCACACCCCACCTCCTGGGAAGAGCCCAGCACAGCCCTCCAGCCTACACCTCTCCCAGGATGCCTGTAGCACAAGAGCCAGGCCCTCCTACTCCCCACCTGCACCCACTGACACTTCCTGCTGCTGCCACCCCAGGAGTGGCTGACACGCCCCTCCCCCCACTCCTTGCCCTACAGACTTACCTCACATATAAACAAATATTGGTTGTAAAAAGGGTCATCACATACAAGCAAAATTGCATATACAGAGCCCACAAAATGAGGGAAACCTGTACATTCTTATTGTTTGCTATCTTTTATTCCTTTAACTTCTTGAAACTTTGCACTTTTACAGAAAGGCAAGAGTTTGATCATGTGCACACAACCTTGCAGAGACACAACAGGGCTGCTGGGTGGGTAATCTGGTCTGTTCTCTCTATTCTCCATATAATGCTGTTAACAAGGATGTTATCTCTGGAGACAACAAACTCTCCCTATGCCTGAAGAAGGGTGTTTGTGTGCAAAAACTTGCAAAGAACAATGTTTCCAAATATTTAGTTGGTTTAATAAAAGATATCACATCTACCTAAAGAGCCTTGTCTGTCTATGATCTCTGGAGATAGAAATCCACAGTTTGAGAACTGAAATTAAACATCACACAGATGCTTAATGGGATCTTCTAAACTGAGCACTGAGTCCCACTGGGTAGAGTAGTTTTCTTTAATCTTTACTAATCTATAGAAGGAGCCTCTGGGAACCCCATAAGACTGGGCCCCTAATATAGTCTATATGTCCTGTTGTGACCTATTTATAAAACTTCTAAGAAGGTTACATGAATATATTGTCTCAAATAATATATGTTAGAAGTTGTAATCCATATTCCATGATGAGATATCTTTAAGCTTTAACGTATCTTATATTAAAACTGTATGGTTTTTTTAAAGTATCTTAACAGCAAAAAAAAAATTTTTTTTAACTGATTTAAAAAAAAAAAAATCTTATTTAAATCATTGATTTTTATCCACCCTGGGTATTTTTTTAATTCTCCCCTTCTCCTCCCTCATTTTAGACCTACTCACTTTGTAAAGCAGCAAAATCTTCAGATTAAATCAGTTGTCTACACCAGAAAGAGAGCCCTATGATACAACCCAGCATTCTCACATTTTGATTCTAACTCTGCTTTTGTCATGCTCCCTCCAAGATGCACGCTAGTAATAATCTACATATTTCAGAGTCTATCTGTTCAGCAAGCTGTCCAAACACAAGCCTTTCCTTTCAGGTCATGATGGTCTGCAACAGCTGCTAAGTTACATACCCAATGCTGCCAAAATAGGTTTTGCCACCTACAGGGCACATCTACTGAAACGCTAACTGCACAGTAGCCCAATAATACCACGTAGTAGTGCATCACAGTACAAACAGTGCTAATAAGCTACTGCTCACCATTAGGCTACTATACAGTAGTGTTATTAAAAAGGCATGCACCAGTTACTGTGCATTAAATTTAGTACTTGAGTATACAAGTACTATATTTAACGAGCAGTAAACACTGTGCATTAATGAACATGTAGATGCACCCACAGAAAAGCTGAAATGGCAAAGAGTAGGACATTTTACCTTAATACTCCCCCCACCCCCAGATGCTGGGGGGGGGAGGGGGGAGGTGTTCGCTTTCCAACATGGAGTCTGCTTTTACAGAAATGTGTGTTACAGCAAAGAAAGCTGGGATGTTCTTCTTTCTGAAGGAGTTTGCTGCTAGCCCAGAGGAGGGAGCAGAGAAAAAGACTTCACTGCTATTGCTTAAATTATTTGCTGTACAAATATCTACTGCTACAACTTGACATCATCAGGAAGGAGACAAAATTTTATTGGTAGGGTCACATCTTACCTACTATGAGCCTCTCCAAATCTGGCAGATGTGAAAACTGTCTCTTAAACTCTTCACTCCTATATTTGTAGGTGGAACTTGAGAGCTGCAACAACGAAAGGCGTAAAGGTTAGAGCAAGTCAGTTTAATTTCAATCCCCACTATCTTCATACTAGCAGAACACTGTGCTAATGTCTCTCCAAGAAAGAAAATTACTACCAGAAGGCTGGAAAAGGATAGGCCGTAGCAGAATGCATTAATCATTGCCACCCTGCTAGTAAGTGCAATGATGTGGTTCTAGAACCAAAAACAATCTCGTGTCATGCACAATACTGTCATGGAAAGACAACTGAACACCGTTCAACCCAGATTTTGGCTATTTTCAGTAGTTACTGGTAAATTCAAATCCTATTTTACCTCTACAGCAAGTGGTTCCCCTCCTTTTCCCCTCCCCTCGTAAGTATTTTTTAAAATATCTTTGCCATTAAAAAGTTGACATACTTATTTTTTTTTTCCCCCCCCACAATCTCTAACATGATGGAATAGGACAGCACCTAGATATGGAGTAGGATTTGGGCTGTAGACTTACATACCGGTTCTTCATAAAGTCCTTGTGCACAACTTAAGTTATTAAAGTGCACAAGGACTTTTTGAAAACGCTGTATGTGCATTCTCATCATAAAACACAGGTACAACACCAAGAGCTGCAGCACCAGCGCTCCCACCACAAGACTGCCTAATGTACACATAACCCCATATTTAAAGGTCCTGGCTCTAAGGCTAACATGGCGACTCACTCACCAGACTCCTTTCAACCTTTAGCTTTTCCTGGAAGCAAAAGGGGCCTGCTGGTACAAGGAATGATGGTGGCTTTTAAATATGGACCTCATATCCATTAGCCTAGGAAGAACGTTAATACACCTCCAGGATAAGCTTCTAATGTAAAAACACATTGTACTCTATTCCATTTTAAATAGCAAGGTCACATTTCTTCAAGTGGAGGGCAGGGTGCTTAAAATGTACACAAAACCAAAACCTCTGCTGTGCAATTTAATGCCTCAGCAGCATTACAGCTGAAACAGGAAGAGTCACCTCTAGGTGTCCCAATAATGGGGTATAAGTATACCATTAAAACTCATTAGATTTAATTTGTACCTCTCTTTTTTTTTCCTTGAAGGGACTAAATGAGTAGAGGACCATTGCCAATTATTCTAAACAAAGAGACTTCTCAGCAAAAGTTCAACATGTTCTGCACACTGCTACAATGGTACAGAACCCAAACGATCCTGGTAAAATAAGCCAACACAAAAAAAAATACTTACAATACAACACACACGTCAGCATATGCATCCTTGCCCTTTTAATCCCAGCTAGCTATGTGAACCTTCATTCCCTTCCCCGCTCCCCGCAAACATTTATTACATTGTGTGCTTTATCAGTTAACAGCCACCACCTTGTGGCTGTGAATTCCATCTACGCTTGCAAAGCAAATTCCAGTCCAAAACTAGATTTAAGTCTCTTCTTGGTGTGATAATGCCCCAACCTCATTCGTTCTAGGCATGCCTTCTTGCTTCTGATTTTGGAACTGGGACTCCTGCTCCTAAGCATCAAGTCTTTGGTTATCTATGTAATATATAGGATCACGGTGTAGGTCTACTTTCAGGACAAAAGGTTTTCTCCTCATCTAGCTGGTAACAAAAAGCTACCTTGAGGCAACAGGTTAAACAAAACAAAACACAGAAAAACCTGCATAAGTTCACAAAAGCCATCTTCCTTTCAATATTTTTCATTTCACTTCCATTCACAATCACCTACAATTATTCCAAAAACAGAATTAAAGGGATATTTTTTCAGTTTTTTTTAAATGTATATAGGCGACAAAACTTCAGGTACAGCTTGCTTCTCCCTTTCCGAGAGGCTTTTGGGATGCAGTAGGGAAAAGGGTTAAAAAACCCACAAAACTCCCCATGCATGTTCTTAAAGACAAACAAACAAAAAAACACAACACAACAAGAAATCACAAAAAATGGCAAAGCAAATCACTGGGGCAGGTCTCACAACAACTTAAGCACAAATCTTTAAAGTTACATGATTACAAGGCTGCCTATTTCGGCTATTTTGTTGGAGCCTGTAAAGATTATTAATTACAGAACATGGGCATCCTTGCCCCAGAATCTGGTCCCCTGTATCAGGGAGGACATAGATTTAAAAACCACCACGTGAAAGACCCTTAACTATGCTTTGTGAGAACTTCCGTTTAAGGTTTGATTCTGAAGGAAACGGCAAGGAAGTCAACTTGTCTATTGATGAAGCCAGAAGATCTATGTCAACCCTGCTGTGATTGCGAGTGAGCCACAAGACACTTAACCTAAAGCCTGATGCTTAAAGACTTAGAATTTGAGCTTGCAAAGAGGGAACACTAGGGCATTAAAAAAAAAAAAGTGCTTAAATGGCCTACAAAAAACAAGATGCAGCCCATGGGCACTTGTACACATGACGCCATTAACATGTACACTCGATGAAAATATCAGTCTTAATGGCATCACAGTGGACATATGCAAGACTTTTGGGGGTTTTAAGCAACTTTGCATCGTTGCATACCAGTGGGCTTGGGGGAACAGTTGGATCAGGCTGGGTGCTGCCTCCGAGTTGGGGCAGCACCTGGCCTGCTAGCAGCCCACCCAGGTTGCTCCAAGCAGGACTGCCACTGCAGAGGGAAGAACCAGGGCCTCCTGCAGCTTAGGGGCCACTCAGCCCACCATTGCGCCCCCCCCCCCCCCCCCCCGCCCCTCACCATAACATGACAGAAAAACTGAAGCAGTTTAGTCCTTCGGGTTTTATTCTATGCCCCACCATTTCAGTTTAGAGGACATAGAATAAAACTTTGGGGATTAAACACCTGTCATGTGTACAAGCGACCTTCAAGCTGGCTTCAGCACTGATTTAAAGAACCATTGTTCCTTTCCTCAAACAGACCAGAAGCAAGCTGTGCAAGAGCTAGATGCTGCTGCTGAAGTTATTCGAGAAAGGGAACCAGGATGTAAACAGAAAAATGTGGGTGTGTTTGTAGAAGTTGAACACTGCTTCCCTCAATGCTGGCAACAACCTGAGATGGAAAACTAGAGTCTCTGGAATCTAACACACTAAGTAACCTCTATCTCTCGGGCATAAAACCTGTTATCTCTCCATCTCTTACCCAAAAGTACTTTGTTGGTATAAAAGAAAAATCACATTTGTTTTTCCAGTCAGCAAACAAAGGACAAAGAGATAGTTGAGAGTAGCTCAGTGTACAGTCTCCAACAATCAAAACTGACGAAAACCTGCTCTGCACTTGTATCCTGGTCAGTCCAGTTCCAGTAGAAGAAATTCTGGCTTCTCAATCTTATTCTTTCCTCACTTCATATAGCAATTAACTTATATTCCTAGGACTGGAATCCTTTCCTCATCAGGCCACAAACAGGAGGCAAGTGGGTTGGCAAACAACAACTGGGACATAAAATAAATATCTATAAACTGAACACAGAAATCTTAAGGCATTTCAGGTTCGGCAAACACTACATATCACACAGACACATGTGTGCATTGTTACGTCTCAGCTGTGTGTTCTTGGGAACCCTGGCACAGGATGCAGTCTGTCTGACTCACAAAGAATTCCCCCTCCCCTCCCCTCCCCTTTTTAAATGAAACTGATTAAGATGCAATGAGAGACACACCTAAGACCCTCCAGATAAGGGTGACAAGAGTGAAACAACTGCCCTAGGTCTCATTTGTTCCGAGATGGAACCAGATGACCATTCATTTACATGAGAGATGGAGAACAGAAAGCCTGAGGCAGAGACTGCAGTGAATTCTCGGATCAGAGAAGCAGGGGAGCACTGCATGATGGGGAATCTGTGCTCCAAATGCTAAACAACCCATGTTCTCACACATCCAGCTCAGCATTTATCAGACCAGTTCTAATCTGGATTTACAAAGGACTTTCCCCCGCCAGACACACACACACACCTCAGTTTAATAGGCATCTCGGGCTGTACATTCCCCGGTCCCACTATGGGAGGCCTATTTAAACTTGATTGACTAAAACTCGGTTGCCGGGTTAGGGAATGGTGAGGCAAAGAGACCAAGTCAGAGGGGGTATGGGCAACATTTGAACAATGGTTAGGGGTTCATCACAGCGTCCAGCCCGTTAGAGCCCTAATCACAGGTGTTGCCATACTTTTCCCGAAGACGACTGGTGGGAGTCCTCTCCACAAAAGGTTATGAGCACCCCAATAATTGTCTTAAGTCTGTTAAAAGACATAGTAAAATCTGGAAAAGTCATGCTAAGCTGAGGCTTGTTCACAACAAGTGAAAATCCAAAATCCTGATGCTGCAAGCTATCTATTGTTTCTGAAGAAACCATGAGATATCCCATCAGTATATCTGCTATCCATAGGAATTTCAAGCTGGCTCCCAAGTATCTGGTTACTCCCTAACCTTATGCGTTTCCTGATTATCGATCAGTTTCTTGAGATGTTCCAAACCAGATAACCCCTTGTCAATAGAAAAGACAATGATTTACACTATTGAGAATGCTTCAAAGCAGCTGAACTGAGGGTATAAAAAAATCTGTAAAAAGCAGCAGTGTGCATGCTTCAAGAAGAAAAAACTTGTGTGCTGACACCATCCCCTGTTGTTCTTGGGACACTGGAAGAACAGATCTTTTCTCTCTTCAAGGATTGTGCTATCCTGTCAGCTTTGCAGCCTGAGTACCTTGGACTAGGTGAGATCCCAGCGCTCGCTCTCTCTCTCTCTCTTCTCTCTAGGCATAAACTTCTGAACCCGAACTGTATTAGTTAAGCTTGAGCTAAGTTTCCCCAAATACTTAGTGAAACCAGGGTAGTACTGTAATTGTTTGTGTTTGTTTGTTTTTTTCCTTTTGCATGTCTATTACTACTAGTACCATTATATATTTCATATGCTTAGCAATAAATAACTTTTATAGTCAAACTGGTAGTAACTGGATATATTTTTCCTTCTCTGCTTCTCTTTCCTCCTGTGCTCTACAGCAACGCTTCTTTTACCTAAGCTAAAGATCCCTGTGAAGCCCAAAAGTACTGTGGGGTC